AATATTTTGTTAAATGAATTAACCCCATTGGGAATAAAAGCTTATTTCCAAATTATTTGCAATAATTAATCTACGCCATCTCCAAAACTGCGCCACCTTTACTAGAAAAATTTAAGCAGTAAACCGAACATTTCCACCACGTATTTAGAGTGAAACTGCATATTAAGTAGAATTTGAGATAAATTACACTTGACCCAAAAATCCCACCAAATTTCTTAAATTCTACGCTAATAATTCACAACGTGCGCTCTGTTTCAAACACTAATATAGCTAAGACTATTAAATTGCGAAGACCAAGCCAAACTAGACGGGACAATACATCCGTTGCATAGGGTTTTCGAGAAGGCTCTCTCGCGAAAGGTTGCGCTAATTAGGCTAACTAGACAGTTGTAAAAGACAAAGACGCAAAAGGGCATGCATGAACGGCGCAAGCGGTCAAGCTATTCACGTGGACGACAAAACGACGACCTTGAAGTAGGTTAGTGGCGCGCGCAGGCAAAGTGTGTATCCTTTCATTGGCTATGACCGTGTTGCTCCTACTTTCGTCCCATTTACTCGGCCTGTGAGTTAATACCAAAATCTGGCATTTAGATTTCATGAAACAAGCCACTTTTATGAATGGAAGAAGGATAGTTCAATGAACCGCATCACAAAATATTTTACAGGATAGATGTAATTACGACAGACATTTAAAATTCTTAATTACGATAATGTTATTAAACTTGAGACAAAATCAGAGAAAACCAACATGTATACCGGTGCATAAGACTATTTCACCTGGGCCTTCAATGCAGAGCTACGCTGAATAAGCAAACGGAATTTCAGATGAGTTGAGTGGCTATGTTGACGTAGAGTCGAATAAGGGAATAACCTCAACCATTTACTAAAGATAAAATACAAAATGTCATGCAACGGTAAGTCCCTACCAATCGCTCACTACTTAGGGAGATTATTCCACCTGCATTACAGTAATTTATTAGTCTACAGATCAAATAACAATTGGCGACACGAATATTGCACTCGTATAGCAAAAGGTACATAATATGCTAACTTTCAAGATTTTTCACTCATGAATCACAAGAAGACAGATTTACCTCATCAGTCGCGGACATTTAGCTGATTCATGAGTTTAAAGATCTGGCTATGGCATGCCTGCACATTTTGCATCAGATTATCAGTTGGTGAGATAACAGAATGTTAAACAGCTTCAATTTTCATATTCGTTTTCAAATTGTATCGAAACATAAAGAATGAGAGCTAAATAAACATGTTAATCAGAGGAATCGAACCTGAATCTCAGTTCCAAAACTAGGAACAAGAGGTCAGGGTCATAAACACAGCTTCGACATTTCGAAAATTTCACCTCTGCTTAGATCCACTGCTAGTGGTACCTTCCTTCATATGTGTTGGAAGTTTGAACTAGTTAAGATATAATGTAAAGCAGACTCAATTTATAGTTGGTTAATAATAGGCAGACATTAAAGAGCACCGAGGTACTAGAAAACTTATAAATCGCAGAAGGGAATGTGCATTTCAGCACGTGAAAGAACCAGCTGATGCGCAGCTTTCCCAAAAAAAGAGTGCAATACGAGAGATTGTGTATTGACAGAGGAAATCCGCAGTTCACTTAATCATGAGAGTAAGCAGTAGTAGAGAAATTAATTCTTGTGCAAGTGAAATCTGAAAAATTCTGCTATATTTAAATAAACTACCTATTTTTGCTATAAGCAAATATATAGATTAAACACGGTATTATGATCAACCATGGGGTGCGCGATAGACTTACCTCCACGTGGTGCATCCTGGGCAACGCATACTCATACGCCACGAAGTCTATTATTCTGCAGTTGGCTTCTGACTTCAAACTACCATCACCCCATTGTATGTCATATTCGACTACTTCCACAGTACTCATCTTACCTTTTTTCTGCCTTTGTGTCTGCTTCTCTTATATCTGTGAAGCAATCTTCTGTTCCCCCCCCCCCTCCCCACCTCCCCACCTCCCTCCATATACATGTTATACAATTGTAGTCTGCAAGTTTGTTCTTTCTTTACCCCAAGTCACTGTTTAGCAGTGCGATTGCAGAAATTCTAGTCGAGGTCTTTTTGAATTAAGCTCTAGATTAGACGTCTGGCGAAAGTTGGAAGTGTCTTCCTGTGGCATGAATCTTCCCACCACAACATACAGTGGAAAAGATACTAGAAATGGATCGAAAAGGATAATCAACCCATTAGGGTGAAATGCGCAAGTAGGTGTAGAATGAGTCATAGTTGAAATACAGAGGTAAGGGAGAATTTATCGTAATATTATGTCGGCAATTAGACCAAATCAATAATTAACATGCCAGAATAGCTAACAATAAGATTGGCACAAAGTTCTAGCAACGTATTTGTGTAGTGTAGAAGTCATACCCGTATAAATTTAATATTTGAAATGATTGTAAACTAGTTTTTACATGCCAACCACCATTTAATTTACCTTTGTTCCAAATCAGCGTACTTTAGCGTTTCCGGGTCTTCTGATGTGATAGGCTTTGTCCTTCCTCTTTGTCTTTTACTAGAGCTTGGATAAGCGTATTATCAGGGCTTACCTTGTCGGCTTCTTCAAATTTCCCTCAACAATTGGCCTATTTCAATGGGAATAATGTTATACTTATTAAGTTCCTTACTTTGGAATTTCATTCATCCTGCGTTGACGCTTCCATGTAGCGAGGGTCTGGTCAACAGTCTTGCGCTCTTCCTCAGACAAATTGCTGTACTCCCATTCAGCCATAGCCATGTACTTCCTCACTTTCATTTCAAATGCCTCCTTTTCAGCTCTTTTCAAGCCTTCCTCATAACGTCTATCTGCTAGTTGAATGGATTCACTATCCCGGGTAACTGTTATGGCAAAAATCCTAACCATATGTTTCGCAAAACAACGCAATAACATTTTACAGGACTTGAGAGTTTCAATCTTATCAACAATAAGGCCAAATTTGCAATCATCTCGTTGAACTCTTTCAGCAAGCGATTCTTCCAAAGAGGCCTAGACATGAAAATTGGAAGCTTATTCGAGGTCAATTACCTCTTGGGTGTGGGTCTCAAGAAACTCCTGAATATCTAGGTAGGAAGCGTCGTAGATTTCTGCCAAACGTACGGCTAGATCAGTTTGTCCTGCTTGAGGTGAACCGAAAACTAAAATGACGATTCTACAATTAATCGGCAAAACACGACTTTCATCGACGAATTTCTTGAAGGTTGTTATATTGCTGGTTTGGGGAGGCTTTGTAAGATCGACAGTTGCCTTCGTCAAACCTCGATGAGAACTCCGTAGACGACTTGACTGAAATTGATCATTATTCATAAACCTCAATTTTAAATGTAATCTCGTATATTACTTAAGTTATTGTGGTTATTTCATCATTCGGGGTATTGAGCCAATGGCAAATGCTAATTTCGACCAGAAACTAATGTGAATGGATGTTACCCTTGGGGTAATCGAATATTTATTAGTTCAGAATAACTAAATTTTCCCTTTCCAGTCATATCCTAATTGTTGTACATCCATCTTACCTTTGTTCTTCCCATTTATTGATCGATCTTTGAATGAGGTGACTCTGAGTAAAGCCTTGCATCAATGTCTCAATCCAATGCAATACTTAACACAAAACCTTCCTGAATTAATAATGTTCTTCTCGGGGTGCACGAAAGACTTACCTCCACGTGGTGTACCCTGGGCAACGTGTACTCATACGGCAAAACAGTCTATTAACTGGCAGTTGACTTCTGACTTCAAACTACCATCACCCCACTGTATGTCATATTCGACCCCTTCCATAGTACTCATCTTACCTATTCTCTGCCTTTGTACCTGCCTGTCGCTTTCACATCTGTTAATCAACCCTCCTCTCGACTTTTTGCTCTAATGTTCCTCTGTTCTCCCTCTCGAATTTTTCTCACTTTGATGTTTCTATCCCTCTGTGAAGCCCGAAATCAGCTAAATGGCTAATGATGACTCTGTGAAGCCCGAAGTCAGCTAAAGGG